TCAACTTTTCATTTTACTGTACATTGATGAGTTGGATACAGTTAGTGTTAGGGTAAAGAAAATAAAAAATAAAGTTTTACCAAGAAAACTTGATATTCGTTTAGGAGGTTCTAGATTTTACTCATATACATTTGAAAATAAGATGAAAGAAGTATTTCAATTCTTAGCATAAAAATAATCTTTCATTTAGGCTGACTCAGTTAAAGCTTTGTAAATTCCCAGATAAATCTTTAGTAAAAAGACATAAATCTGACTTGTAATATTTTCTAAAATCTTGCCAAATTCATGAAGATACATTTACTACATTTAAGAGTTATAGTATATATAGTTTCATGATTATATGGTTGTTACAAGGTTGGTCAAATTGACTGACCTGTTGGCATACAGTTAAACTTATATGAAACAAGAAGTAAGGGCAATACTCACTTTAGCAAAACCAAAATTCTACAATAATATTGTGTGGTTATCAGAAAGATAAATTATGAAGTGATACAGAATTTAACTAAACTAAGTGAATTCAAACAAAGAAGTAACAATCTAGAAAATTATGTGTGACACAAAATGAAAAGTCTTTATTAAGTCTAAAACAAAACACAGCGTGTATTTGCATTCTAGGTGCTGTATTTTTGCCTTTCACTGGATTTGTGCATTGATTAATTGGTTTTTACTTCCTCAGTATGTCGCCCCTTCAGCAGAAATTTAACGAAAGGAACAAGAATCTTTACTTTATGAATATCTATTGCAGAATGTCTAAATCTAATATTTCTTGCTCAATGGGAAACGTCGGATTTACCCATAGCGACTTAGCACTTTCACGTCCTGGTCATTCTCCTTTGTCATGGAAGCCGTAATCTTGAGTTATCATCTGATCTGGCATTGGCTTTCGACAATCTTGTACAGTATGTAGCATTTACAGCCGTTCCACAAAGGGTATAACAGGTGTTATCTCCGTAAAATTACACAGGAACAAAAGCAGCTGGAAAGAAGGCAACTTAACGGCTTTCTTGACCATGTGTTATGCGAAAACTACAAAGACTTTGATTAAACGAGCATTTTTGAATAATTTTATAATAAGATTAAAAAGTAGAAAACGCATGATCAAGGGCGCCCGCAGAAAAAAAATAGGGGGTCAAGTTTGAAAGAATTATGAAATCGAAATACGAATACCTTATGTTTTTAAAATAACATAGAAGAATAATTTTATATATCTAGTTTTTTTTCTTTTTGAAAATCCAGGGGGGGGGGGGCTTAAATGACACCCTTGCCCCTTTCTGCAGGCGCCCACGCGCATGGTATACTTTCATACGGAATCATATCACAGTAGGACACTATGGTTGAGTATACAACCTTAAGACTAGCTAATCATACCAATCCAATTTTAGAAGTAGGGTTTTCCATTGGTTGTCTCTTGTTTTTCGGCTCTTTGATTTATGTGTATTAAACTTTTGAACCTGTCCTTAACCCCTGCAACCAGAAAATAGCCATTTAGGTTACTAGGCGGCCAATAAAGTGTAACTATTAAAATGCACATAGTCTGGTGAATAAAGAATTTTGTTTTGTTCACCTATGTTTACTTATTTTCCCTTGCTGTCTCAGATCAGTTTATTCTTTGCTTAAATAGCAAATGTTGTGGCCTGCGTTATTTAAAAAAGTGTTTTAGTAGCAGTTATGTCTGGTAAGAATTGCATCAGTGTGGTATTCAGGCACACTGATATCGACCAGGCAGTTAAAAATATCTGCAAAACGCAAGTTATGGACTGTTAATCAAAACTAGTAAACATAGGTGAATACAGAAAAAATCTTTATACACAAGACTATTGCGTTTTAATATTTCCCACTTACTGACCAACTTATAATCTGCATGGCTGTTTACTGGCTGCTGGGATCAAAAGTTGAAGACAATAGAGATATATTATAGAGAGAGCCGAAAAACGAGAGACAGAATGATTTTCTGTCTTAATTCAATCTATTATTTACGAAACAGGCCAGAACCAGCGTTTTGCGGCTACTTTTAACTATAAGGTTTATAATAGTGTAGTTTAATATCACACTGGATCAATTGTTACCCGACACCTAACAACTGGTATTAACACGTTTAGTGCCGTAATGTATAATAGATCATCATCATTGTGGTGCCAAATACACTATGAACATTTCCACGTAACCCAGCTTTATATAAATGTCACAGATGAAAATGTTGGGTTTTAGGACCTCATTGAGGTACCCGATACTATGAGACCAACTGGTTGGTCTCGTGGCACTAAATGAAAAATACATTGTGAGTGTGCCAAGTGACCCGCCAATGGGACGTACTCAAACTCATCGATTATCTCTGTTTGTAGTTACTATTGCCTAAATTTAATGGATCATCAAAAGTAAATGAAGAGTCATCAGGAACCCTCTCCCAATTGCTTCAATGGCTTTCCTTTCCCAAATTTTCTGTGTTCCACCAAATATATGCAATATCCACATGATGTAGATATAAAAGTGTACCATTTACGAAATGCAAATAATATTCCCAACATCCTTAGCTTTAGTGCCATGAAGAAATAATGCATGAAAAAAGAGTACTGTGACCCTCCAGTGGGTCAAGCGGTACACTATTAATAAGATGCTGTGACATTCTGGTGGGTTACACAGCAGCCAATTACAAACTATAACATTTGCTATGAAAAACAAAATTCCATTAAATTATATAATATATGCATGTTTTCTTTTGTTGTTGTTGTTTTCTGTTTTATATTTATTACAACTTGTGTTTACACGTTGTACTTTATCTGTGTAATTTGTGAAATGTAATCTGGCAACTATGTTAATTTTGGAATTAGTACACTGTTTAGATTTGTTTTGGAGTAGGAATAAAGTGTGTGTGTGTTCAGAATGTAAATTATGGAAATTTACAGAAATTGTCAGTGAAATTCACATATATTAACTTGCCACCCCATTCTTGTTGAAAGCTTTAAAAGTTCCGACTCTGGAACAACAAATTATGCACTCCTTATTAAAGAAAGGCATTCAGTTTTCAGTGATAACACAACACTAGATAATAACGTCAAATCGTCCCTGGTTATTAATAATTTTCCATATATTTTTTTTTAAACACAAACTTGTAGTTAAAGATGCAATGTTTTATACGTATGTTTTAGCTCACCAGTGTATCAGTGGCAAGTCTGCAGGCTTACAACACCAATATCCGGGTTTCGATATTCCTGTTGCACTAAGCACAGATAACCCATTGTGTAACTTTGAGCTTAAAATCAATCAAACCAATCGTATATTTTATCCTTGCTTCATATAGTGTTTTAACAGTATTAAAGATGTATTTGCTGCACACTTGATATTTCGGTAATATGTGAATATGCGCATAGTTGGGAGATTAATGCAATAAAATATTACCGTAAAAACACGGCATTGAAATAGAAGCAATTTATTTATTTACTTATTCTCTTACTGCTCGTTTTACCGTAAA